ACCGAAAAGCTTTCGGAAATTCTCATTTAAAATTCGCGCGCTGTATATTTTCCGATATTTTAAGTTTATGTAGTTTGGCAGCACTGTCCTTAATTACTATGCCAAAAATGAGCGCGATCTGTCAGACAGTTCGTTTACGGCAGCTGTTGAAACCAGTTCACCTCAGTAGGGCGTTGCGAAAAAAACAATGGAAAAAAATATTGAACAAAGAGTTTGCATCAAATTTTGTGTTTCGAACGAAATTTCGTGTGCAGAATCGTTGCGAATGCTACAAAAGGCTTATGGGGAATCAGTTTTATCGAAAACTCAAGTTTATGAGTGGTACAAAGCCTTCCAGGACGGTCGTACGACCGTCGAAGACATTTCGCAACGCACTACTGAGGTGAACTGGTTTCAACAGCTGCCGTAAACGAACTGTCTGACAGATCGAGCTCATTTTTGGCATAGTAATTAAGGACAGTGCTGCCAAACTACATAAACTTAAAATATCGAAAAATATACAGCGCGCGAATTTTAAATGAGAATTTCCGAAAACTTTTCAGTCTTAATGTATAATAACAATAAATCCATCTATAAATCTAAGTTTATCTAAGTAAATCTAAGTAAGTTTAAAATTTGTGAATAAAATGTAATTTAATTATAACATACTTAAATTAAGATAAAATAACTAATAACAACAATTAAACTTAATATTTTTCAGTTCATGACAAACGATTTTTTTGGTAAAAAAAGAGAGACTTATGAAAATCGACTTCCTTGTGATTACCAATAGGGACGAGGACTTCTATGAAAGAGGCATGATGAAATTACATTCGAAATGTCAATGAGTTATCGAATAGCGCAAATTTCAACTAAATCGGATCATTCGAACTATGATAAATAAGCCTTCAATTTCATGCAAAAATAATGGATTTCTTTTTACTACACCTATTATATACTATATTATATATATTACATTTAATGTAATATGATAATTATCTTTATGTTATATTAATTTATCAGAAATAAGCAAAATTTTGAACCACAAACATTTTAGTTTTAGTTTTCATTCCGGTACAATTTAAATAATATATCGGTTAAATTTCGGTTCATATACCAACGTAAATACCGGGTTTTTGTCTTACAGTTTAAATCCATGTATATATATATTTATTATTTTATATTTTTATTTATTATTTTTTAATATTACACAATTATAAAGCAATTAATAAATTACTTTTAATTAAGAGAAATGTACATATACGGGCAGGTTTCCGAACCAATATCTTTTTCGGTTCGGGTATGGATTTCGCTCTGGCCAAAAAATCTGTTTCTTCGGTTTTGCGTTTATTGTACAGTTTCGGTTCAAAAAACTGCTTTAAAGCAACAAAGCGATTTATTTTAAAAAAATTATTATAATATTATATAAAATAAGTTAGTAAACATTTTAAAAAAATTCTCATAAATATTTATACACATCAAGATTACTGCTCTTATCTGAAAAAATATAAAATTTTAAGTGATTTTTTTATTTCAATTTATTATAATTTATTTACCAACATCTTTATATAATATATTATTGTTTTGAAACTGTTGTTAAAAATATTTAAATAATTTTAATTATTTTCTGTGACCGATCGGTTTAATGAGATTAAGCCGTTAACACATTTTCCTGACCACAAACTATGATTCAATAATCGTAAAAGCCAGTTGCCTGGCTTCAAACTTCAAGCTGAAAATTTCTGTTATTTCTTGGGAAATGATTTGGAAAATGTAAAAAAAAGATAGATATTGAAATTAACAAGTTTATTTCTATAATTTTTTCTTTACAAATAATTGTCTTAGCTCAAAGCAACGGAAATATATAAAATTTGTCAAGCATATTTCTCATCTCTTCACTTCTCCAGCGAATTTAACGCTGCAATGCGCATTTAA